GGCACTAGCTTTGGTCTTTTTTGAATCATCTTCTGCACTTCAGCACGACCACGTATCTTTCTTGCTCGGTGATTTTTGAAATAGTTTTGAATGCGGCGTTTCCACAGCATCTTTAACGAAGGATTAAATCCTTGGCATGATAAAATGAAATTACAGTATCATTCAATTCTTTACATTTAATTGGTGTAAATAAGTACTTTTCCACAAAGAAAAATGATATAGGAGTTTATCACATTAAACTTATTCAACATGAAATGATCATCCACATAATAGCCACCTTCCTGGAATCATTACCACTCACCTTAGGGCAAAAGACCACATCGTTTTCTGATGGTTTCTCCATGTTTTTGAGGTACGGATGGGCACTTAGGAGAGACTCAGCTAACAAAAAGTATTCCTGTTCAGTACAGTAACTGGAAGGAGATATAAACATAATATGCAATGGATAGAATGCTTCTGATTTCAAAATAAGTGATGTATAGCTGAGAACAAACATAGATTTTCAAAGGGCATCATTTTGAATAATGGCTACAAAACTACATAAAAGAAGTGAATTGTAAGTTTGTAAGAAGTCAAACAAGTATATTTAATAATTTAGGCATCATTTATCAAATTTGGAAGCAGCTGGTTTAACCATCATTTATGAATATGAATTACTTGTTTATTAATGTTATAAAAGATGTTACACTAATCACTCATAAAATGACACATTGTGTTTGTGTGTGATGCTTACATCTTGTTGTAGTTGGCATCCAAATCATCAAAGCATGTGGCTATAAGCGATGACCTATCTGCTTCATTCAGCGTTTCCATTGCTGTCAGCTTTGATTTGACACGTGGTGTAATACCTGCTGAGGGCCACTGGTAGTTCCATGGGATAATACCAGTCCTAAAAAAAAGATTGTTTTCTTCACATATGGCCAAAGGCTAATAAAACAGATAGTGTATTCTAATGGGATATTATAAGTCAATCGTGATGTCTGCAACTCACAATATTATTTGCTATTCCCAACCGTCCAATAATTTTTCTATAGTGGATGCTGGCTTGATTTTTTTTTAGGTTGGTGTGCAAAAAAAAAAAAAAAACAGACCTCATTTTTCGTCACCACTAATCCCGCACCGCAATAAAAATTTTTAAAACAAGGGTAATTAAAACCCGAAGAAAGTTACTTAACATTCAGTAAGAAAAATTACGAAATGCCTTGAATCAATGAACCCTCATAAACTAAAGAAGCTGAACATGTAATAGGAATAGACCTATTTTAAAACTCAAGGAACGAAATTAGATGCAAGCCGAGGGCCACGCATGGCCACCGAGGCCTCCTCCTACTACTGTAGGCCTAGCTGTAGCCTGACTTTAAATCTAACCTTCGTACAATCATTTTCCTATAGTGTACTATGCGGAGCTATACTAATTCTTTATTAGGAAATGAATTTTCAATCTGAAAGACCTGGTAGTTTATCTCATACTTAGAGGGATACTGCTAAATTTGTTTAGGCTATTAAGTCATCCAAGTCATTCAATTCATCGATTTAACTTACTTCTTAATCATAGATGGGCCGGATGTGCCTGTATCAACAGGTATTACATTTGCATGTTCCTCCATGATGGACTTAATTTGTCTGTAAAATAATAAAATATTTTCATTATAGGCTTTTATTAAAAAGTGGTGATTGCTCGTGTTCCATTTAATAGTATTTTATCAATAGTAATGAAACTGTAGTTTGTAGGATAACACACTCTCATCCCTGTGAATTATTTTCACATAGGCTGTATACACATTATTCATCAAACTTATTGAAGATCATTATATTATAAATGCAGTCTCAAACAACATCAGTAAATTTTCAAACATACAGAAGCTTATTACTACCTATACAATATATTATAAAAATAATGTAAATTACTCACCCAATTGGGGGAAGTTGGCTCAGATCAATCACCATGTTCTTCTCGCCGTTTAGTGGGACTGGTAAATTTACTGGAATAACAACCAGTCTCGCCTTGTCTGGGAGATCATTAAGATTGTCTACAGTGATCAGTTCATTGTCCCAGTCAGAATCAAAGTACTGGACTAACACATCTGAATTGTGGATGTTAAAAGCTTCTTTGATATTTCCAATAAGATCATCTTTCTTTTCCACATTTATTTTTCTCTGTATTTCCAAATACTTCACCAAATACAGGTACATTTTCTTTCGTAAAAAAAGACATCAGTTTAATAAATTGACATGTCGACAACTATGCTAAGCCCCACCCACAAAATCGCAAACGACTTCAACATTACGAAAACCTTAGACATATTACAATCAATGGTTGTTAACTTAATGAGCAGTTTCGGGGAGTATTTTCTTTGCTATCAACCTTCTTTAAGAAGGGGAATTCAGGGTAGGCGGTACGCAAATGAATCATATTCATAGTGTTAATCCATTTCATGGGAAATTGTTGTAAAAGCCTCTGTATTTCGCTCCCAAAGGAAGATGGGAAAGCCGCATTCAGTCAACCTCATAGACCTAGTCGGCCGCGAGGAGGTCACTGTTCGTGTAAGTCCCCGTTGCGTTGACACCATTTTACCATCATTTTTTTTTTTGCACAATAGGCATAAAAAAATATTTCATGGCGTAGGCCTATTCTCCTATAACCATAATAGACATCTAGCCTAGGCCTATAACAGTAGGCTTACGTATGTTTCGCGTTGACAACCGGTTAGGCCTAGTTTGTGTCCAAGTCTGTCTAAGGTTTTTAATGTTCGAAGAAAAGTTTTTGATCACAAGACGCTCGCTGATTATTAAGCAGTTTACACCACAGTCAAATCTTGTCGAAATTTTAATTGTGAAAAGTGTACCGAGTCATTCTGTCAGTTTATCACATATTAGGCTATACAAGTAGCAGGGTTAATGTAGTACTTCAATGGAATCATATTTTTGTCACAAATCTGGTAAATGCCAAGTGGCTTATAGTCCTTTAGTTCATGCACTTTAAGAAATCGTGCAATGATTTGCTCGTTGTTCAATTGTACCAAACTTGAAATCTCATTAATAACATATTGACATGTAGACTGTGTAGCTCTGTATTCTTCTCTCAATGTCAACAAAAACTGGGCAAGCCTTTTATTGTGGTCAAATGTTAAAATACTTTGTCTGTTGGGGTCTTGTACATTTGCAATATCATTACCATTGTTTTCAATATTGTTATCAATATCAAATTCATCTGCTGTTTCCATATAGTCAAAACTAACCTGGCCATCTACCACATCTCTAACAACATCATCAATGTTTTCATGCTTGTGGACTTTATTTATATGTCTTCGTAATGCCCTTACTGACTTATACAATTTTGAACAATTATGGACTCCACATATAATTCTGAAGTTGACTTCCTGTGAGTGAACATATTCATAATGATACAGTAATCGATTGTGTTGCCTTGTTGCATAATTACAATAATTGCATTGTCTTCTCTCCATAATGACATATATACCAATAGTAGATACCTCCTGAAAAATTGGTTTAATGGATCATTTTACAAGGATTTAGTGATCACTAAAACAAAAAATGTTAAAATAATTAGCTGGAAAACTGTAACGTAAGTAATGGTAAAATTATTAGAAGTATTACGTTTTTTGTTACAAAATTATAAACTAATACTGTAGTACGCCTGTTACCTATAACATAAGCAACACATTTGTAGTGTTGTTTGTTTTTTAGAACAACTTAACCAAACTATTAATTTTTGACATGTATTTTTAGAGTAGCATGAATTACTGTTTTTCTGTTATTGATGAGATATTATTAGTTCGGTACAATTGAACAACGAGCAAATCATTGCACGGTTTCAAAACGGGGGTGGAAAAGAAAATGTAGTGAACGCTATTGATGAACAAAATACTACCTTTATATCAGCATGTCCCAGGTTTAGATAAAAATATATGTTGGGGAAAAAAAAAAAAAAAGAAGAAAATCCGGATTTTCCCAAAAGTGATGAGGGAGGGGGTGATAAACTAATAATTTTTTTTTTATGGGGCCTTTATACAGAAAAACAACATGGTATACTGGGACAGGGAATGGTTGAAAGCTGTACAAGATTTGTTCCCTATCCTTTCTATTATTAAGTACAGTAGTAAAAAAAAAAAAATCAGAAAAATTAATCAGATTCATAAAAAGATATAAAATGCTTAACTAAATGACAACAGGATTTTGACCATGGAAAATGAACACATTATGAAAATGCAAACCAATAAAAACAGTGATTACAATCAAAGTAGGTTAGAGTTGTAAAGGCAAAATGCCCTTGAAGGTCAGAGATGGATTAGCTTGTAAGCAATGGATAGCAATCAAGGAAACATCAACATTAGCCTACATAAGCCAGATTATACCACATGCAGCCCACAATCACACAATCAATGCATGGCTGTAGCCTGAGGTATTGGTTGTACTATTGTGGTATCATGAATGGTGGTATAAACATCTCAACTCATACACTTTTTTTTTTTTATAAGAACACATTTTATAAGAACACTGAGGCTGAAATCACTTAAAAATTAAGAACAAAATAGGAACAATAATTGTGGCTGAGGTCAAAAATGTCAGATAGCAAGAAATCCCAATCTCCATTTCCAAATGGTATCAATGACCCTATCATCAAAGGAAGCAATCGTAGAAAGCACCAAGTTTGAGCTTGTGTGAATTTAATTTTCATGGTGCCTGCGGTGGAGCCGAGAATAGGGATAGCATTTTTTTTATCAACCTCAACATATTTAAACCTGGCAACACCTATGCTCAATTCTGCATAGGTAAAATGTCCTTGGTCCACAAAGCGTCCAAACAAAGTCTGTAGAATAATAGGAATTACGCCCTCAAAAAGGTCATGAGATGCATCAGATGGTAACCCTTGAGACACATGATAATAGCTCAATTGGTTAAGAGGAGAGTGCCTTTTTATTCCATAAACACGAGCAAAATCCATATTATCAGTGCCAGCTTCAGCCTGTGTATTCCAGATTTCCTTGTTAGCTCTTGACTGAAATGTACCTTCATCATAATTATTATGCATATTGTGTTTTGTGGAATTGCAAAATCTGCACTGCCTTAGTACGGTTGAAAAATTTTCAAACATGCCTGCCATGAAATGAGCACCTAAATTGTCTGAAGCCACAAATGAAATTGTGCCATAGAAATGATACTCATTTCCATCAAGTTGGACAGTTATTCCTTCTGTCTCTAGAATATGAATATCTCTTATCAGTGGTTGAAGAATCTGTTCAGCTCCATACTTTTTTACATGAGAAGATCGACAAAGCATCACCAATTGCATCATATCAAGTTTTGATCTGTACTTCGCATCTAAATTACCAAGAACAAAATAGTGACCTGAAATTTTATATTTCCGTCCCCTGTCTCGGAACTGGTTATTCAACGTAAAATCATCATAATAATATTTAATTTGCAGGGCTGTTGGATACCTTATAAATAATGGATTCCTTCTGTATACATATCCATCACAATAATCCCGTATTATGCCATCTTGAGATTGTTTATGCGAGAGTAATTCAGAGAGAACATCTTCATGCTCAAGAAGCAGTTTTAATGACTCCAAGATTGGAATATATTGCATGGTATCTGGTTTTCCTGATTGATTATATCCAAGTAAAATTTCTTCTGGGGCAACATATTTCATCTGGGTAGTTACATATTTCTTCAATTGGCCAAATGATCTAAACCTGTAACATAGGCATTATGATCTATTATCCATCCCAAATATATGCCTTTTTACTAGATAGACGGTTTGTGTAAAATTAAAAGATTTTTAGGATTATAAAGAGCATACCGACAGCAGATGAATGGCAAATGATTTATTTATTGCATAAATTACCGTATATGCTATTCACAAACTAATATTAAAATTGTGTAAAAATCTTGCTTTGTGAGTAACCTTAAAATCCTTGGGTTTTTGTGCATCTTATCCATAATAAAATTAGCAAATGAAAAATTATCCTCAGTCTCCTGTCCATCATGACCTGTACATCTCCCTTAAGCCCACTTTACACAGTGAGTGACCTTGTTAGTTACACTGTGTAAAGAATCAATCCATGACAGTAAGTGATAAAAAGATTTATTACACTTAACACAGCAAAAGGTTGTTTAATACTATTATGCCTCATTTAAGGATGCTCAGTTGTTTTATGGGTCATAAATCTTCATTAACATGTTAAACACTAATTCGACTTCACACCTGACCAGTGGTGTATTGAATGGTCAGATACTCCATAGGACTTGTGCGCTTAATGATAGGTGCAGATCAGAGGGGAGGTGTGATGAGGTAAACAGTTTTGCATAACACTGATCAGTTTACACAGTGTAAACTAAAGTCACTCACTGTGCAAAAAAATCTAAAGGAGATGTACATGTCATGATGGACAGGAGACTCACGGATAACTTAACATTTGCCAATTTTATTACAGATGGACAAAAACCCATGGACTTTAAGGTTACTCACAAATCAAGATTTTTACACTAATTATAATATTAGTTTGAGAATAGCATATACGGTAATTTATGCAATAAATAAATCATTTGCCATTCATCTGCTGTCGGTTATGCTTTATACTCCTAAAAATCTTATAATTTTACACCAACCGTCTGGTAAAAAGATTTATCATAGTTTACTTGGTCAGAAGAAAATCTTTTGGTTTATTTTTTTAAGTTCACAAACATTTGATTTGACTTTGTTGTCCGAGATTATTTCCACCCCCCCCCCTCTCCACCTTACACCACTCCACCCCACCATCGCGATATCTCAGATTATATTTTGGAAAAGTTGGCAACCATGCCATTTTCATCTACGCCTATCTTACATAACGCTGTAGTTCATTAAGATTGGGGTATGCCTAGAGTTAGATTTAAAGGTTTGGGTAAAGCCAAGTCGACCAATCAACGCACTGAGATTTGCATAATTCGGCGTCGACATAGCGATCATCCCCTCCCCCACCCCGGGAAAACGCGGGATGATCGCCGACCGGCACCCCAAAAAGCTGGTGACATCCCTACACGCTAGTATTAGCGTGCACCATGGAGGGATTATTGTGCACACTGCACATTCCCTTCTGTCTGGGCTCTCCGCTGGCTCCGTCATTCATCATCATTCATAGCCTGCTACACAGCAGTACTTAGACCTAGGGGGCCTAGGCCCTAGTAGTACTAGCAGCCTCTCTCACCCTATAGCTAGGCCTATATTTTATAGGCAAGGTCTTATGGACGCTAAACTTAGATCACAGGATGAATATTAGGCCTAATTATTAAAGTAGAACTAAAATATTTGTTTTCTGTAGTGCACTTACCAATGAACAGCAGGACGAACAATCTTCGAATGCACCAGGCAGCTCGTTCTCCCTTCGAGAAAAAAAAAGCGCGCATATCTTGGCTCCCAGCCATGGGCGCGCACCATACGGGCGCACAATGCGTAATCGGGGTCACGTCTGCTGATCATCGATCTGAGCTTGGGGTAGACTCAAAATCAGAATATATGGAGATAGAATGATTCTCATATAGAATACACGAGGCAAGATTCTATTTGTGAATCAGTATGATTTTTTTAAAATTTTGAGTGAATGGAAATACACAGTCTTGGTCTTTTCGAGGCAGAAGCCATTGTTGAAATGTACATTACATTTCACTTAATTATGTTTCAATCAATTAATTAAACAATCAGGTCTGTGCTCCTCCCATGCTCCCTACCTACCAATGAAAAGG